ACACACACACACACACACACACACACACACACACACACACACACACACACACTGAAGTGTCTGTGGTCCTGCGGGCAGCTCCGGGTCTGGTCTTAATGAGGCTGGCGTGTCTCTCCTGACCGGCCTGCTGTGGCCCCTGAGCGGCCCCTGGGAACTAACGAGCAGCAGGAGACTCTCTGACATGTCCTTCCTGCTCCTGTCAGCCCGACACAAACGCACTTTAAATGCAGGTTCATCATGCTCAGGACAGCAGCGGTGTCTCGCTCACAGATCACGTGTGTTCATTATCAAACACAGCGCTTCAGCTCCGTTCAACACATTTACTGCCTTCCAAACCTCACAACTCACTGTCTGATGCTGAACACAAACAACACTGGAGCACATGACTTTTACTGTTAAAAAATCTCTTCTTTTATGTTCCCCAATGAAAGAGTTCATTCTGGAACATGAGTAAGAAAATAATGACCAATCATTTCAGGCTGAATTCCTGCTTTTGGTCAGAGATTGTGACATGATGCTGAAAAACTAAATTATGACAGGTTTTGGAACAGAAAACTTCACTAACATTAGAAGTCACAGAATCACACAATCACATTTATGCATCTGGAAGAAGCTTTTATCAAAAGCGAGCAGTGATGCACGATATCGGATTTGTGCCGATATCCAATATTTTCCGACTCATACGGACACCAGCTGATACGGACACACATTTGTTTTATGTTTCTGTGGAAACAGCTCCACGTCTCTCCTGCAGCAGAATGAACTCTTACTGTAAAAAACACATTCTGCTGGAGGATAACAAGCAAAGGCAGCTGTAGACCTCAGCTAAACATTTAGAGAACAAAGAACAAGGCTGGAAGAACCTGAACAATGACTGAGCTGAACTGGCCGGATCACCAACAGCACTGTAATTTTAACCTTCGAAAATTCACTAAATTCATTCAAAAATACGAGCAAACTGTGGCTATTTTACACTGTAACAATGAGACCAGTGAGAAATGATAAAACATAATAGAAACAACATGTTTCTTATAGCCTATTTGTTCTACTGATTTTTTGCATCTGTTCTTATTTATAACAAAGATCAAATAAAAAATAGCTATATTATGATTATTAATACAGTCATTATTTTTAAGAAAATAACTGGTCCTATTTCCTGGGGAGGGGAGGTATCCAAAGCACATCAACTGGTCACTGGGGTTCCTCAGGGATCAGTTCTAGGACCCCTCCTCTTCTCCATATACACTACATCACTGGGTCCCATCATATAGGCACATGGCTTCTCCTACCATTGCTATGCTGATGACACACAGCTCTATCTCTCATTTCAACCAGATGATCCAACGGTAGCTGCACGGATCTCAGGCTGCCTGGCGGACATCTCGGCATGGATGAAAGAACATCACCTACAGCTCAACCTGGCAAAGACTGAGCTTCTTGTCTTCCCTGCCACTCCAACTCTACAGCATGATTTCTCCATCCAGCTAGGTTCATCAACAATTACCCCATCAACTTCGGTCAGAAATCTTGGTGTAATCTTTGATGATCAGCTGACCTTCAAAGACCACACTGCAAAGACTGCTCGATCTTGCAGGTTTGCATTGCACAACATCAGAAAGATCAGGCCCTTTCTAACGGAGCATGCTACACAACTTCTTGTCCAGGCCCTTGTCATCTCTAGGCTGGACTACTGCAATGCTCTTCTGGCTGGACTTCCATCAAGCACAATCAAACCTCTACAAATGATTCAGAATGCAACATAATTTAATAACAAAATAAACACAAAACTGAAAACAGCCCCTCACGGACGTCTGCCGCGCACAAACAAAACACAAATAAAGTCCAGGCCTGGTCCTCTCTCCTCCATTACTGTCGTTACTCCTCCTTTTATCCTTCCGGAACTCCTCCGTGGGACTCGAGACGGGTGAGTGGCGCAGGTGTTGCTCATTATCATTTACTCCACCGGCCTCGCTCCGTTCCCATGGCTCTTGGCCCCACGCTAATATTAGTCTGTTTCTCTCTTATTCTGAGGTCACCGTAGCCACCAGATCCAGTACGTATTCAGATCAGATGGTGGATCAGCACCTAGAGATGACTTCTACAGCCCTGAATGTCAGCGGAGACCAGGACAACTAGATGAACCACAGAGACAGATCCCCAGTGAAGACCTTGTCTCCTAGACAGCCACCGGGACAATACCACAGGAACCACAAGAGGCCTCTGCACAACGTGCCTTT